TCTGTGTAGCTTTCCGCCTTTCCTGGGACTCACTTGGTAGTCCAGGCTGGCCTCAAACTCACAGGGATCCGCCTGCCTCTGCCTCCCGAGTGCTGGGATTAAAGGCGTGCGCTGCTGCTGCTGCCGCCGCCACCACCATCCGGCCTTGATAATTGTTCTTACTGCACATAGTTTTACTGTGTCAGAATTAAAACCTTTCCTTTCTATTTAGAAAAAAGGAGGAAATGCTGGGATCTATTTAATTACACGGTGAACCCAGAGTTTGCATTTGTGTTAAATAAAATCAAACTTGGGTCAGGAGGCTGAGTTAGCAACGACAGAAAGTAATCAGAGGGCATCTGGAAGAGACAGAGACACACACCGGAAGTAGCAGGGAGGGATCTGGAGTGGCAAGATTTCTTTTTTGTTTTGGCAGAGCAGAAGGACACTCTCTTTTGGGAAGACTCCAGCAAGGAGAGAAGGTTAGCTGTTGCTACTCAGCCTCTCTGAGCTAGGGTTTGATCCCAGCCTTTAAATCTCTAGTATTATTTATAAATAGAATGGTAGAGATTCAGGTAAAGCTCCCTTTAGTGGCAGCAACAGAGGTGGTGCCTACAGGAACAGAATTCCCACCAGGCTGGGGCCTCAGTAGCCAGGCACTGCCAGGGAAGCAATTGCCAGGAATTGCAATTGCTGGCTGAAATAGCATCAGATTAAGGTGCAGCCAACTGTGCCAAAGTTAAATAGGCTGAGTAAAAGGCTATTTTTTTTTTTTTTAATTAAACAGGCTGATAAGTCAGGAAAATCTCCCTGAAGTAGTAAGCTGAAATCTGGTAAACAAGTAGCAAATAGCCAGGAAGAATAAAAAAGAGAGTACTCAAAGGGCCAGAAGCGGCAGCACACACTGATAATCCCAGCACTTAGAAGGCTGAGGCAGGAGGGTTGCTACGTAGTGAGTTCAAGCCCAGCTAGAGATGTAGACTAAAATCTTATCTCAAAATCCCCAAGAGCACTCTAAAAAGAGTGCACCCAGCAGCTCTGGACCAGCTGTCCTGTCTGACACAGGAGTGGCATTTAACTAAAATAAAAGGAGTCCAGCATCTTAGCTGTACTAGCTACGTCCCGAAGCCCAACAACCATGTTCAGTGGCTATCAGACTAGACAAGGGAATTGAATCCTCTTGAAAGAATTTTCTAACGGACGGCACTGAACAGAGCATAAAGAACTGGCACTTGGGGACATTTTAGCCGTCTCATCTGATGAAGGGAAGAAGGGTGGTGACAGAGGTGGAGGTAAGCACCGACTGCTGGACATCATTTGACACTGCTGTCCTGTGTCAAGCAGGACAGTAACAAACAGATGTTTGCTGTGATGACCCTGGGGAGAACACTCAGAAGGGCTAGGAGGTAGAAGATAGGTTCAAGTCTTCTCTGGTACAATAGGCCAGACTCCGGCTGTGGCGATTCTGGATAAGCACGTGGAAGATCAGGCAATCCATCTTACTGCCGGAAGCTGGGAGGATGCAGGATAGCCATTATTAAGAAAAATTGTCTTTTGTTTAAAAATAAGTAAACTAAAATTGCAGAGAAACTACTCAATGTGCAGAGAAGTTAATGATTCATAACGGGGAAAAATAAGTATTCTTCACAAAGATTTTTCTAATGTGTCAGACAAGGCACCGTCATTTAATGCTTGAGACAGACAGTCCAGTGTAGGAAGTGCTAACATTATCTACATTTTATAGAAGAGGAAAAGAAAGGCTAACCAGCAGGTAACACATCACAAATGTTCTAAGTCTGACTATAAAGCCCATGCTGTTTTAGGCACTATGATATACTGTTTCCCACTGTTTTAAGCACTATTGGTTTGCTGTATATTCTTTTTTATTCTTTTTTTTTTTTTTTTTTTTTTTTTTTTTTTTTTTTGAGAAGTCCAAGAACCCAGACAGGTTTGGAACCAAGAACAACCTTGAATCCCTGAACCTCGTGATACCACCCTTCTTCCCACTGTCAGTTATGGAATTACAGACTAGCAGCACCATGCCTGGTGCTACTGTTTTCTTTAATAAGAGGAAGTGCTTTTTAGCAAGTGGAAGTCAAGACATCTGGTTCCAATTTGGGGGCTGGTTTATAGAACAGAAAAAAAAAATCTTTTGTTGTCATTCCAGAAAAAGCAAAGGCCAGTCCAAATATATGTGGAAGGAAAGCTGCATAAAAGAATGCTTAAGTTGTTTTTCATACTGGCCTGATTATGGTCTCTTCTGTTCCATCTTATTTCATCCAGATCCTACAAGAGGTCCCAAATGACTGATGATGTTTGTGCTAATCTCCTGATGAGGACAACTGGAAGCAAACTGGGCACCTGGTGGTGAGCTCGCACCTCAGTGGGGGGAAAGAAAGGCCTTGAGAACACATGGCCTATTTTGGGTGTTGTTAGGAAAGGGTCTCATGTAGCCCAGGCTAGCCTGATACTCACTATTGGCAAAGGAAGGTTTTTAACTGATTCTCTTCCTCTACTCCTAAGTGCTGGAAATAAAGGTCCAACATACCACACCTAGCTTTTAAATTTTTTCCTTTAAAATTTTTTCCTTTTATTTTCTTTTGTTGGTTTCTTGAGACAGAGTTTCTTCTGCATTCCAGAATAGCTTTGAACTTCCCAGCTCTGCCTCCTGAACACCAGAGTTATAGATGTGGGGCACCACATCTGGCTGACTGCCTGGACTTGACTCCTGGCTCTATAACTTACTATGGTATGACGTTCACCTCTGAGCCACAGTCATGATCTGGGACTGGTTGGTGGCCCCCAAAAGAAAGCTTGGTACAGGTGGAAAGAGGAGGAGGAATGGGGGCTTCCACTGTAAGTACTCCATAAACCTTTGACAAAGCACCAACAGTAAACGCTAAGTGTGACAACCTTATAATAAACAGCAGTGTTTGTTACCTTCATTGTATTTCCTAATACACAGACAAACCAAAGAGTCATGCCAGGCTTGGTAGTGCACGCCTTTAATCCCAGCACTGGGGAGGCAGAGGTGGATCTCTAGGTTCAAAGCCAGCTTGGTCAATTCCAGACCAGCCAGGGCTACAGAGAGAAACCTTATCTCAAAAAACAAATGTTAAAATTTTAAAAAGGAGAGTCAAAATTTTCTAGCTAACTACTGGCTCCTAAATGTGAAGAATACATTTTGTGGCCATGCCTCTCACCATCTGAACAAGGATACAAGTGCAGCACCATCAGGAAAACAAGACCAGCACATTTTTGACTCAGCAGCATCTCTAACAGTGTCTCTCTAGATTGACAGGAAAGTCAAGCTGGGGAATAAACTCCTTCTAGGTGCAAACAATTTACCACATGTTCTCACCAGTTTTGCCTTACAACAGTTGTTAAAGAAAGGTTGGCTAAAATTCAGTAACAGTGTACTTAAAACCTTATTTTAGGCCGGGCGATGGTGGCGCACGCCTTTAATCCCAGCACTCGGGAGGCAGAGCCAGGCGGATCTCTGTGAGTTCGAGGCCAGCCTGGGCTACCAAGTGAGCTCCAGGAAAGGCGCAAAACTACACAGAGAAACCCTGTCTCGAAAATCCAAAAAAAAAAAAAACAAAACAAAACAAAAACCTTATTTTATAACATAAAAATCCATTTTCTAGCCAATCAGGACAGTGACCATTTGATTCACAAAGTAGATCACAGAATTTTTCTTCTATGGTGCTTTTTCTTTTTCTTTTTTTCTTTTGGAGACAAGGTCTCACTATGTTGCCAAGGCAAGCTCATGATCCTCCTGCCTCAGCAGCCTCTTGAGTACTGGGATTATAGGTATGAAAAAGCATGCCTGGCTGGATTGGCCATGGAATTTCTTTAAGTACTAGACTCTCCTACAGCATATAAAAGTATTAAACCAATCCTGATACTTTCTAATGCATCTCATCTAAACCCAGGAACAGAAGCTTGGTAATATATTTCGGTGGAGAAATGAACTCAACAGCTACATATGACACAGGACCTGACTCTGAGTATCTTTCTAGAAGCTGCTAACTAAAGATCTAGTACACTGGAGATTTAAGCTACAGGCTTCAAAGACAGATCAGCCCTCTACTGGATTCCTCACTCCCATTTTCAGCCTAACTACACCTATATACAACAAACACACACTACTACACAGCCAGTGGGTAATAGTATTGCATAGAAATTTACCTAATTTCCAATTTCTGCTTACTTATTTACCATTGGAATGAATAGATTTGATTAAAGGGGCAGATTTTTTCCTCCAAAATATGCAAATAAATTAAAACCTTTGGCACCAATCTGGATATTTGATTATGAAGCCATAATATGGACACTCCATAATATGGAGTAATAACAATATGGACATAATATGGACACTTCACAATATAGAGTAATAATAATAATATGGACATAACATGGTCACTCCACAATGTGGAGTAATAATCATATGGACACAGTATAGACATTCCACAATGTGGAGTAATAATCACATGGACACGGTATGGTCACTCCACAATGTGGAGTAATAATAATATAGACATGGTATGGACACTCTACAATGTGGAGTAATAGACATGGTATGGACACTCCACAATGCGGAGTAATAATCATATAGACATGGTATGGACACTCCACAATGTGGAGTAATAATCATATAGACACGGTATGGTCACTCCACAATGTGGAGTAATAATCAATAATCACATGGACACAGTATGGACCCTCCACAATGTGGAGTAATAATCAATAATCACATGGACACAGTATGGACCCTCCACAATGTGGAGTAATAATCACATGGACACGGTATGGACACTCCACAATGTGGAGTAATAATCATATAGACATGGTATGGACACTCCACAATGTGGAGTAATAATCATATAAACACGGTATGGTCACTCCACAATGTGGAGTAATAATCACATGGACACGGTATGGACACTCCACAATGTGGGATAATAATCATATGGACACGGTATGGACACTCCACAATGTGGAGTAATAATCACATGGACTTGGTATGGTCCCTCCCCCTGCTCTGCAATGGGTAACGGCCCAGTTTTAAAGACACCATGACAGCAAGCCAAGGCTGTACCTGGATTTCATCGCACTTGATTAGTTTCTCCACCTCTCCTTGACTCAGGAGAATGAACTCTTCATGCTGCACCACTTCAGGAAAATGCTTCTGGCTAAAAACCTCAGCTGCTTGCATCAGGTCAACACAGTTGTGAGTTTCAGCAAAATCCCTGATACCCAGGCAATTAGAAGGGTCCAACTGACTCTCTAAGAACTCACAGCAGGCTTGTTTCACACCTAGGACAAACACAGGCAGTGAACAGACTTCAGCATACTTTGGCAAGTGTGAAGTGGTCTTACAGTATTGGATTTTAACATCTTCTCTACATGTTATCTATCAGAAGAACACTGGCTCCACACCTTCACACACAAATTAGAAAATTTATGCTCAAGGCATTCAATTTATCGCTGTCTTATGTACTATGTCACTTTTAAAAGTCCTTTATCTCTGCTTCTGCTTCATTTTTAAAATGAGTGTAGCAAGTCTGACCTAGTTTCAAGGACGCTCACACCATCAGAAGCTGTAAATTCTTAGCTACTGGAACCAATCTAAAAACAGTAACTAATTTACAATTTTCTTATTTTCTCCTCTATATAGTTTTTTTTTTTGTTGTTGTTGTAAGATTTACTCACTTTTATTTTATGTGTATAAGTATTAGGTCTACATGCATATAAATGAACCATGGCATGCAGTGCCCAAGGAGATACTTGTCAGACAGATCCCTTAGAACTGGAGCTAAAGGCAGTTGCGAGTCACCATGTGAATGCTGGGAATCGAATCCAGGTTCTCTAGAAGACAAGAACTCTTAACCACTGAGCCATCTTTCTAATCTCTATATCAAACTTACTTTAAAACTCCAGTGAGGCTGGGTGTGGTGGCACACACTTTAATCCCTGCACATGGGAGGCAGAGGCATATGGATCTCTGTGAGTTCAAGGGCAGCCTGGTCTACAAACCAAGTTCCAAGACAGCCAGGGGTGTTACATAGAGAAACTCTGTCTCAATAAGCAAACAGACAAACAAGCCCTCCAGTGAAGGAAAGCCATCCCACAATTCTCTAACTGGAGAATTCAGAATAGAAGCTTGGGATGCAGCATCACAGAAAAGCAGCTCTGCTAGTGGAGCATCTCAGCATGCACAAGGCCCTGGGTTCAATCCCCGGCACTGGAAAAAAGAATGTGTGGTGCATGAGCTCAATGCTTTTTTGTTTTGTGTTTTGAGGCAGGGTCTTACTATGTAGTCCTTGCTGGCCTGGAGCACATGATGTAGACCAGACTGGACTCAAACCCACAAATATCTGTATCTCTCTCCTGAGTGCTGGGATTAAATGTGTGTGCCACAACATCTTGCATAAACTTAATTCTTAATTTTATAACTCTGTAAGATGGTTCATGTCTCTATTTCCAGTGCTCACAAGGCAGAGGCAGGTGGATATGCTTAAGTTCAAGGCCAGCCTGGCCAGCGAGTTCCTGGACATCCACAGTTACATAGTTAAACCCTGTCTCAAAAACCAAAACCAAAACCAAACAAGGGTACTGGAGAGATGGCTCAGCCATTAAAAGCACCTTTACTCTTTTTTTTTTTTTTTTTTTTTTTTTTTTTTGTGGTTTGTTTTTTCAAGACAGGGTTTCTCTGTGTAGTTTTGGTGCCTGTCCTGGGTCTCGCTCTGTAGACCAGGTTGGCCTCAAACTCACAGAGATCTGCCTGGCTCTGCCTCCTGAGTGCTGGGATTAAAGGGGTGTGCCACCGTTGCCCTTGTCACTCTTAAAAGAAATCTAGGTTCAGTTCCCAGCATCCAGAGCACAGCTTACAATTGCTTGTGACTCCAGTTCCAGGGGATCTGACCCCCTCTTCTGATCTCTGTGGCCACCAAAGGTCATATTTTCAAGCATAACAATTATTCACATAAAAAAATTAATAAAAATAAACCTAAATAAATTTTTTAAAGATATTTGACATGACTCCAAGACTTAAATATATAAGGTTTATAACGACAAGTCCTCTTAGCGCCCCCATGCCCCAGCCATCTAATGACAAGGTAAACAGTATCTCTCCAGGCAATGAATGCTATGAGTCTGGGCAATTCTTACATGAGTACTATGTAGGTATGCATGTAGTAAGGAAATTCCTGTATTTTCCATTCTTCTGTTTTGTTTCTTTGGTTTAATTATCCTATGTGTACGGGTGCTTTGCCTGCATGTGTATCTGTGTACCGTTTTCATGCCTGGTGCCCAGAAGAGGGCACCGGATTCCCTGGAAATGGAGTTACAAATAGTTGTACATCACCAACTGGGTGCTGGGACTCAAAGACAGGTTGTCCTGAAGAGCAGCCCATACTCTTAACCATTGAGGCATCTCTTCAGTCCTTTGGTTTGGTTTTGAGACATAGTCTCATTTTATAGACTAAATTGGCTTAAAACTCACACAATCCTCCTGTCTCAGCTTCCTTAAGTGCTGGGATTACTACCGTTAGCTACCATACCTGGCTCTTCCATATTGTCAAAAACAGAAAGAGTTTAAACGTTTTCTTTTACAAGAGCCAAATACTCATATCTGGAGAGATTCTTCTGCACTGCTCTTAAATATATCTGATCTTTCATGCTCAAAGATTCAAAAGTCATGCTTCTAGACAGGTCTCTGAAAGTCTCTTGATTAATTTTACATCAATGAAAAACACTTCCAGGGCTAATGAGTCATGAACAAGGACACCTTCTGTCAACTGTACCTTTCAGCTGAAGTAGACAGGCTGCAGGGAGCAGTTCTTGAACATTCTCCACTGTCACGTGGACTGTTTCTGTGTATACAAAGTCCAACAGAATTTCCATAGTAGACGCAGTTAAACCTTGAATGTCAACATATGGCTTCCCCTTCTCTGAAAGCTGAAAAGTCATGAGGTAGACAAGAATGGTACTTTTAATTCCACAATCTAAGCCTAAGAGCTTAAAGGGATGCTGGTGCTAATTAAATACACATCTTTTAAAAACAATAGTCTGGGGCTGGAGAACTAGCTTAGTGGTTAAGGGTACTAGTGGCTGCTCTTCCAGAGGACCTGGGTTCAATTCCCGGCACACATGGCGTCTCACAATCATCCATAACACCAGTGTCAGTGGATTGGTGCCATTTTCTGACCTCCATAGACAACAGGCACACACACATGAAGCACATTCATACATGCAGGCAAAACGCTCATAAAATAATTTTATAAAAATGTTTAAATCAGGAGGCTGGAAAGATGGTTCAGAGGTTAAGAGCACTGGTTGCTCTTCCAGAGGTCCTGAGTTCAATTCCCAGCAACTACATGGTGGCTCACAGCCATCTATAATAAGATCTGGTGCCCTCTTATGGCCTGCAGGCATACATGGAGGCAGAATGTTGTATACATAACAAATAAATCTTTTAAAAAAATGTTTAAATCACCATCTATTTTATTTGATTTGTATATAGCAAGTATGGCATATATTTGTAAATCTGCAAATAGAGTGGGCAGTTGACTGTATCCCTAGTAGTGAACAGTAGAATATCAAATATTTTAGAGACTAATTAACAACCTGATTCCATATTAAAACCAACACAGATGTCTTAGAGAACAGAATACGAAAGTTTCATAAAGCTACCACTAGTGTCCATGTGCCTTTATGATAAAACATTCTCTCTCTTCTCCTGCCTACCACCTCTATGCTAGGTAGCTGTGGCTGACCTGGTTTTCAGTGTGTAGCCCAAGCTGCCCTTGAACTTGTAGCCACCCCCTTGCCCCAGACTTCTGAGGGCTGAGATTACAAGCATTTGCCACCATGTGTGGATAAAATAGAAACAGGACTCTGAGGTTTATAGCTACAACCTCCTCCAAGATTACCACATTCCTCTCATCTGCCCTCAGAGACCATCAGGATGGGAAAAGGGCATGCAGACCACTGTAAGGGGCTCTTCTGTTAACAGTTTGAGCCTGGGGGAGGGGCAACAGGACTGCTGTGAGCTAGAGATGCTCCAGGCTGGTTCTGACATCCTATATCAAAAGCAAATGCAAGCCGGGCGGTGGCGGCACAGGCCTTTAATCCCAGCACTCGGGAGGCAGAGGCAGAGTTTGAGGCCAGCCTGGTCTGCAGAGTGAGTTCCAGGGCAGCCAGGGCTGTTACACAGAAAAACCCTATCTTGAAAAACCTGAAAGAAAAAAAAATCTGCCTATTAGAGCACAGCTCAGCTGTTTGGTGGTTTTTCAAAATTTTGAAAATGCACACCTGTGACCTCAGAGCCTTAGGGCAGAGACAGGCAGATCCCACAACTCACTTGTCAACCAAGCAGCAAGCAGAGAGCTCAGTGAAAGCCCCTGTCTCAAAAAGTAAGGTGGCGAGTCACTAAGGAGGACAAGTGGCAATGGCCTCAGCAGGGTGAGCACACTCACACCACCAACTCCTACTACAACACTCTATGTACTTCCATTAGTAATTAAATGGCTTTATCATCTTTGAATTCTCCATCATCCCAGAGAGTAACAAAAAAAAAAAATTCTTTACAAAACCAATCCCATACATAAAGAAAAAAAAATCATTAGTGATACATGTTGTCTTTAATCCCAGGTAAAGGGAGGCACATCTCCAAGTTCAAGGCCAGCCTGGTCTACAGGAGTTCTAGGACAGGCACAGAGAAGCCTTGTTTAAAACAAAGAAAGAATTGTGTATAAGAAGAAAGGAGTTTTTTTTCCAAGACTCTACAAATTTCACGGTGTTGAAAAAACAGTGCAGACAGACTTTCTCCAAGTTGACAGGAAACAGGACATACACAATCAGCAGCTGGCAGACGTAGCCAATTTCACGCTCAGCACTTGTGGTGAACACCCTTTACCCACCCAGCTGAATGCCAATGCTCTGGGGGCAGACATCATGGAGAGCAGTATAGGCTAGAGATCTGTGCTGTTGTATTATTCAAGACAGTTTTTAAATTAGCCTGGATTAGCCAGAAAAACCTGAGAGCTTTCTATTTCTCTTACCAGCCTTATGACTGAGCAAAGGAGTTAAGAACTAGGCTTTACAGTCACAAGCTGCAGAGGCAAAGCCCATCTGCATGCAGCATTCCAAAGCTCTGTGACCTTGGGCAAGACATTTATTGAGACCCTTCTTCATCTGTAAAATGAAATGTAATATTTACTCCTAGGGTGAATGACAAACTTGGCACTCTACCTGGGCCCATAAATATAGTTATTATTATCATACTTCTGCTCCTATCTGGTTCTAGCAACTACTTCTTCTCTTCAGTGACGGGTAGTAACTAAAGAAAATACTGGTGGTTAGAAATGCTTTTTAAAGAGTCTTATCATAGCCAGGCATGGGTGGCCCACACCTGTAATCTCTGTACTTGAGGAGGCTGAGGCAGAAAGATGGAGTATTTCAGACCCACTTGGGCTACATAGTGAGATTCTGTCTCAAAGACAGAAGCACACACACACCAAACCAAAGGGCTGGAGACGGTTAAAAGTGCTTACTGTTCCTGAAGCACCCATCAGATGGCTCACACCACTGTAGCTCTAGTTCCAGGGGACCTGACATCCTCTGGATTCTAAGGACACCGGCTTGAACATGATACACATAAAATTCATGCTGGCACACACACACACATATATATACATAATTTTTTTAAATTTTTTTAAGGATTTATTCATTTATTTAATGTGCAGTGGTGTTTTACCCGTATATATTCTGTGTGAGGGTATCAGATTCCCTGGAACTGGAGTTACAGACTGTTGTGAGCTGCCATGTGAGTGCTGGGAACTGAACCCAGGTCCTCTGGAAGAGCAGCCAGTGCTCTTAACCATTGAGCCATCTCTCCAGCCCCCAATTTTTTTTAAATCTGAAAAACAAACAAAAAACTAAAAAGTCAGCAAAATGAAATAATTTATGTCTAAGTTTAAATACATAATAATTATTCATATATCTTAAACTTAAAATATTTATAAAGAGTTGTTCAAATATTTTTATTTTTACTTTTTAGAAACTTAAAAACACTTTATTGTAATGAGCTCACAAACAAAAGTATCACACAGCTAGATGAGTCACTCAAACACTGCCTGCTCCCCGATTCTGTCTTTCTCAGTGAGCTTCCAGATAGCTAGGACGACCACCTGAAGATGTGGCACTTCCCTTAGGGCTTTACACATTTTGATTCACTATTTCACCACACAGAAAGAAAAACCCATGACCTAGTTAAAACTAGAAAACCAATTAGCTTTATATTCTTTTACGACTCACGTGCCCTGCATGGGTGGAGGCCAGTGGGTTCTTTCCTTCTACCTTTATGTGAGTTCTGGGGAGCAAACTCACGTGTCACATCAGGCTCCTTCACAGGCCTAGCCATCTCTAATGTATGCAGGCAGGCAGGCACACATGCACACACGTGAGCACAAACACACACACACACACACATACACACACACACACACACACACACACACACACACACACACACGCCAGAGTTGGTTTTCTCCTTCCACCATTTGGGTCCCAGGAATTGAAATCGGGGTCATCAGGTCTGGTGGAAAGTGTCTTTACTTGCTGAACCACCTTGCTAGCCCTGTTTTGTTTTGTTTTAATTAATTAATTTTGTTTTTGGAGAAAATGTCTCATATAGCCTAGAATGGCCTAAAACTCTGTATGTAGGCAAGGATGGTCTTGAACTTGCAGCTTTGTGTATGCTGGGCAAAGCACTCGATCCCCTGCCCTTATTTTAGTTTTATGAGACAGAGTCTCACCATGAGGCCAGCCTTGAATTCCTGATCCTCCTGTTTCCACCTCCCAATGCTGGCATTACAGGCATGTGCAACCAACCACGCCAGGCTAACTTAATACTGCATAGCCATTCATTAAATTCCCTTCTTCTCATTTGAAATCACCTTGAAATCTACACTGGTGGAAGAATACTCATTTCCTACGATTATTGGTAATTTAAAAGAGGAAGCCATTGACATCTTAGTCAGAGCTTACCTATTTAACTAACACATTATACAAATTCAATGGTTTACCAAACTTTTTTTTTTTTTTTTATTGCTAAGTGTTTTTGTTTTGTTTTTGAGATGGGTGTTATTCTGTAGCCCACACTGGCCTCAAATTTCTGGTGATCCTTCTGCTTCCCAAGTGTCGGGATTATAAGTGTGGGCCACTATATCTGGTTTCAAGTTTATGTTTTATTTACTTATTTATTATGAAAGCTTGTTTGGAAGTTCTTTTTTTTTGTTTTTGTTTTTGTTTTTTGTTTTTCGAGACAGGGTTTCTCTGTGTAGCTTTGTGCCTTTCCTGGAACTCACTCGGTAGCCCAGGCTGGCCTTGAACTCACAAAGATCCGCCTGGCTCTGCCTCCCGAGTGCTGGGATTAAAGGCGTGCGCCACCACCGCCCGGCTTTGTTTGGAAGTTCTAACAGGGCAGGGCTCCTACACTCTTGACCAAAGAATGGTCTTCTGTTGGGAAACATCATCTTCTTCGACTGAGCAGCCCCTTCAGGAGACACACAACCAACGGTGAAGAAAGAAAGGGACACTCACCTAGCTGGCCAGACAGACCAGCCAAGTCACCCACACAAGCTATTTTGTTCCTTGAGATGAGAGAACTACAGGGTTCCATATGTGACTTCACTTTTTGCAGCGGTGACTTGCACTCACCTCACTAGTGAACATGGCACAGAAATAGTCACTGCAGGCAGCCAGCACGATCCGGTGGGCAGGGAAGTCTTTCTGCTCCACTCTCAATGTCACATCGCAGAGGGTGTTGCTCTTCCGGAGAGAGTTCATTGAGTTGAGGATGGACTTGGCGTGAGTGCTTGTCATTATGTCCTTGGGGGCCATAACGCCGCCCATCAAGCACTAGGAAGAAAGAACAAAGGAATCCTTGGGCAATGCAGCTACAAGAGAAAAGAGATCGTATTTGAAGTGGGAAACTGAATACACAATTAGCATTACAAATTAAGGAACTAAAAAAAAGTTTCCTTAAACACAAACTTCCAGAGTACAGAGCATTCCCGACGCTGGCGGGACTATCACAATCCAGCTAACATCAACTTCAGTAAGTTATGTCTTCTTCCTCTCAATTCTACATGTTTGGATTCAACCAAGCAAGGATCAAAAGATTCAAAAAGTAAAATATTGATTTTAAACATGTACAGACTTTTATTACTTTCCCTAAACAATACTATCTTGGTCAGGGTTACTAGTGCTGTGTTAAAATACCATGATCAAAAGAGCAACTTGGAGGTCGGGTGTGGTGGCGCATGTCTTTAAATCCCCGCACTTGGGAGGTAGGCTGATCTCTTGAGTTCAAGACCAGCCTAGTTTACAGAGGGAGTTCCAGAACAGCCAGGGTTACACAGAGAAACTCTGTCTCGAAAAACAAAAAGAGCAACTTGGGGAGGAAAGGGTTTATTTGGCTTGCATATACTGAGTCACAGTCCACTGAGGGAAGAAGAGGTAGGAACTCAAACCAGGTGGGAACTGATACTCCAGGAGATAGGAGCTGATACAGAAGCCATGGTTTGAGCTTACTGGCTTGTTCCTCATGACTTGCTCAATTTTACTTTCTTTTCTTTCTTGGTTTTTCAAGACAGGGTTTCTCTCTCTCTGTAGACCATGCTGGCTTTGAACTCACAGAGATCTGCCTGCCTCTCCCTCCACTACCACCACCCAGCTAGCTGGCTCAGCCTACTTTCTTATAGAACACAGGACCTGCCAGCCCAGGGGTGGCCCAGTGAGCTAAGTCCTCCCCTGTCAATCACTCATTAGGAAAATGCCCTACCAGCCTGACTGCAGCCTGATCTTCTGTAGGCACTGTCTCAATTGAGGTGCCTTCCTCTCAGATGACCACACTTGTGTCACGCTGACACAAAACTAACCAGCACAAAACAACTTTACTGTTTCAGGTATGAACCGCCTGCCTTGGTGTACACTGCATACCTAATCCAAGCACTCAGGAGACAGAGACGGACTGCTGCAAGCTGGAGGTCACCCTAGTCTACACAATGAGTTCCAAGCCAGCCAGGACTCCACCTCAAAAAACCAAACCAAACCACAGACCAGCACACTCGGATTTCGGTATCTGTGGATTCCCGAAGCCAATTCCCTATGGGTATCAGAGAACGGCCAGAATGGCAAAGTTCACTTGTATGCATCCACTGAATAATTATGTATTTGAAAGGCAATGTGAGGAATACTTTCCTGAGTGGACAGACTTTAGTCATACTATGGGCATGCGATGGAGGTGGTTATGAGAACAATCTTTTACTTGGGATGCAAAACTTTCTGAAATGAACCAAGAAAAGAAACTCTTCTTCCCAAGTTCACAATCATAGTTTCTGAAAAGTAAAACTGAGGTTCTAAGTTCTCATCTTTCGTGTAGTTACATCAAAAGCACTTTCAACCCTCCCTCCAACAACTCTGCAACATCTATTTTAGAAAACAAGGGGATGATTCTCTAAAGTAAATGGTTTCTGTTTAAAAGCTTTCCTTAAGTCAACATAGTTTCAATTGTGAGCTGCAAGAAGCTCTAGGGATTCGCTCAATTCTCAGTAAGATTATGAAATTTTCCTGGTGTCTTACTACAGGATTCAGCCTGTGATCGGAACTTAAGGTTGGTGTCAAAACTTACAGTAACCTCAGGCTAACAACCTTTCTCCCAGCACAAAGCCTGAGCACATTTGTCTCCTTTCAGAAATGGCATATTCTAGAACTTCCGCTAATATCTGAATAGAGGGGTTCCATTTGGAATGGGGGGAGGGGCATCAAATTCTAGAAGACTAAAACTAAGAGAAAAAAATAAATGGAGTTCTTCCCTGCTGACGCCAAGCTTACCATCGTCAACTATTAGAACGACGTAGGTAGGCAAGGAGTGAGATAGGCGGTAATCGTGGAATGCTGCATCTGTATCTTGGTAACCGTGTCTCCTGGTTAGTAGGAAGTTAACGCCAGAACCAAGGAAACCAACTAAGCTGCACTAAGCCTTCCATAGTCAGCATGCACCCCTGTGGCGAAGCATCCGAGAAGCTGTATTTGGGATATTCCCACTGTATAAGAAACCAAGGCACCGGAGTACTTAACAAATTGCCAACAGGTACGTTAAAGAAGGGTCTGCATCCTCAAAAGACTGGCTTCATTACAATGTGTTGCGGTTTCGACACCAGCATCTTGATTGTTTTTTCAAGATTACTGGGGGCGGGGGTGAGGGTGGGGGAATATCCTTCAAGGGGACATGAGGTCCACTATAATTTGGGAGGGAAAGGGTGTCATCTTACCTCTATGCATGAATATATCATGCACCTGCTGAGTTCTCTTTAAAAAAAAACAACAACAACAACTTTAAAACCCACAACACAGCCCCCAGCGCGCTGCTCCCACCTGCCTTCCGAGAAAGCCCACTCCCATCTTCGGAGTGTGGAGCTTTGCTTTGTTAAATAAACTTCTCCTTGAACTGTTTCTCGGCTGAATTCTTTCCTTCCAGGTGAAACCTCCTCCCGGGGCAGGCAGGGTGCTGCTCCGGGGAAGCCGAGAAGGCAGCGCTAACCCTGCGGCGCCCCACCGCGTCTCCTCCCGACCCCGGGGGTCACCGGGGCTGCGGGGGAAGGCCGCGCCCGGGGCTGAGGGCAGAGGGGGGAGGTCGGGTGTCACGGCCGCCCGCACCCACTCACCTGGGCTCCGTGGCCGCCCGAGTGGAGGGGCTGGGCGCGGGGGCTCTCAGGCGGCTCAGCAGCCGGAGCGCCGCCGCCGCCGCCCGCCCGGACCAGCCGCTGCGGAGCAGTCCCCGTCCTACTCCAGGATCGGCCGCCGCGCGGCGTGATGACGTCACGCAGCGGGGGCCGGGCCTCGCCTAGCTTACGTCACGCGAGGGCGGCTCCGGGCCGGGCCGGGAGGCTCTGCGGGACCTGGGGGTTCGGAAAACGGGGAAGAAAAAGTGGAAGGGTGGACAGAGTGGGGCGGGCCCGCGGCGAAGGTTCCGAGGCTGGCGGTCCCCACGCGGCACGGCAGGCGGCTGCGTCGGCTGCGTCCCCCTCACACTCAGCTGGCCCACGCAACTGCAGAATTCTCCAGGTCGCTTGTGCATAATCCATCAGGCTGCCTGTCATCGTGGGGAGGACCTTTAGTGCCCGGGGACCACAAGCCTCCGGGTCCTGAGTAGACCTGTCACCATGAGGCTGTTACTTCTTTCACTCCAAGCCAAGGGGAAGGAACTTGTGGATTGACTGGACTGCCAGAAACTAGACACGGTGAGGGAAATTGACAAGGACCTTCTCAGAGGACACCGTAGTCATCCCTGCTGCCCTGACTCACCACCATGTCATTCATTAGTGCTGAAGTTGTTAGGGATTTTTGCTTCTCGTTGATTTTGAGTTTGCCTTGTGACTGAGAAGGGAAAGATATTCCTTGGTTTAGCTTACACGAATAACCAGTTGGATTATTCAGTTTTTCTCTGTACAACATTTGGTTCTGTTGGTTTGGGTTTTGAGACAGGGTTTCTCTGTGTAGTCCTGGCTGTCCTGTAGACCAGGCTGGCCTTGAACTCACAGAGATCCGCCTGCCTCTGCCTCCCGAGTTCAGGAACTAAAGGCGTGCGCCACCATGCCCAGCTAATATTTGGTTCTTAAGGATAATAAAGTGTAGTCAGGTGGGCAGCATTTTAGTTTTACATAGTGTTTCCTTCCTGTCATATCTTCCTGATCCCAAATTGTTCCCAAACTTTAAGTATGGTGGATAGAGTGCATCATAACTGATAGAAATCCTATTGAGGGCACTCTGGATTTATTTGTTAAAATGATTAATATAGACATATTTTGATTGTTTTTTTGTAGCCTAGACATTGAACTGTTTGTTATGTCCCCAGGCAGGAGTGCCTCCCCACCTAATCTGGACCCCAAACTACTAGATGAGATGAATTTAAGGTGGCTAGAACAGGAACCAGTGCCCTCTTCTAACCTCCTTGGTCACCAGGCACATACATGGTGCAATACATACCTACAGGCAAAACATCTATACACATAAAATGTTTAAATTACAAAAAAGTATTTCCTAGCTCTCCTGACCTTCTCTGACTGTTTCTGCCTTTACAGATAAGCATTTCCCTGTAAACACGAATCTTTAAAGATCTTATTAATAAAAACAAACTTGGAGCCAGGTGTTGGGGTGAATGCTGAAAGACCAGAGAGACAGAACAAGCTACAGCCAACCTCACCTCACCAACTCCTCAGCTGATCCGGTTTCCTCAAACTGGAAGCCTCTGAGTCCTCATTCAAATGGATCTCAGCTGAACTGCTGCTAAAAGCCTAAAAGCTTAAAAGCCTCTAGTTCCTTGTCCTCACACCTTACATACTTTCTGCTTCCTGCCATCACTTCCTGGGATTAAAGGGGTGTGTTACCATGCCTGGCTGTTTCCAGTGTGGCTTTGAACTCACAGAGATCTGGATGGATCTCTGCCTCCCAAGTGATAGGGTTAATGATGTTGGAATTTCTGGCCACATTAACAAAAGGTGTGTGTGCCACCATTTTCTGGCCTCTATGTCTGTCTAGTGGCTGTTCTGTTCTCTGACCCCAGATAAGTTTATTAGGATGCACAACACACTGAGGGACACAACATCACCACATTTCCTGTAGAAAACTTTTCACCTAGGCAAATGCTTTCCTGACAAGCAGAAAAAAACGCACAAGAAGAATTTCTTTGAGAGCTGGGCATTACACATGTCAATCCATACTTGGGAGACTAAAGCAGGAGAGAGCAAATTCAAGGGCAGCCTGGCCTGGATGGGAAATTCTGTCCCAAAGACAATAACCACAAAAGTTGGGGATGTAGCTAGCATGTGAGAGGCCCAAAGGGGATGGAGGTAGCAGGGTGGAGAGTTTCTTTGGGTCTTAACCATTTATAATAATTTGAGTTACTAAGGCTTCCAGTGTGGTGCAGGATCTTGTTCTCTGTAGGTAGGACAGGGAAAGGGCCCCTGGAAAAAAACTGCAAATCACCCACATACATTGCAATGAAAACAGAGTCTGCAGTTAAAAGGATTAAGAGTTATGATAGCAGAGTCCAGAGTACTTGGGGAGATGAGGAAGAGAGCTTATAGCTGGGATGATGCAGCCAAGCTAAACATACACCAGGAAGGACAGGGCTCTGGGCCAGGGAAGAGAAGCCAGCTAGTCTCTCCCCGCACCCCTCAAGCCCTTGAGGAACAGACGTGAGACACAAGTGTCCTTTCCTATACTCTTGCTGCTAATGTTGCTAATTGTAATAGACTAAAATGTAAGTAAAGATGGCTGCTAACAATAGTGTCTACCTAGGAGACTACTCAGACCATCCCATAGACAAAGCACTCAGTATGAGGTAAGCAAGAAAGAGTACAGCTGCTTCTTCGGGGCTGTGATGGAGCTAACTCTCTGCTGTGGAAAAGCTATGAACTGGTTGTGTAAATGTGGGGACAAGGAGAACATAGTCTAATTAGCAGCTAGCAAGACACCTGCAAGGTTGGGCACCACCAGCTAATAGCACAGGTCAGAAATAGACTAAAATTGTGGGCAGCTAGTGAATAGCATCATCTCTCTGGTTGGGTCTGGGGCAGGGGAGGGGCATGCATAGAGTATGTGGGCCCTCTACTGACTTGGCCCATTACAGCCCAGAGAATAGCTAAGGTTTTCAGTTTGTTGTGTGTGCTTTTCTTTAAAGATTTATTTTATGTATGAATGTTTTGCTTGCATACGTGCCTGTGCGCCAGGCACTATGTGCCTGCCTGGTGCCCAAGGAGATCAGAAGAGGGCATCAGATCCCCTGGAACCAGAGTTATGGATGGTTGTAAGCCACCATGTGGGTGATGAGAATCAAACCTGGTTCCTCTGCAAGAACAAATGGTTCCTTTTATTTTATTTTTTTTTAAGATTTTTTTTTGAAAGATTTATTTGTTTATATGAGTATTCTGTCTGAATGTTCCTTTGCTTGCCAGCAGAGGGCATTGGATCCCATTACAGATGGTTGCTGGGAATTGAACTCAGGACCTCTAGAAGAGCAGCCAGTGTTCTTAACCGCTGAGCCATCTGTCCAGTTAGAATTAACTAATCTTGATAGAAATTTCCTCAGCTTTTGTCCAGTTTCTGCCATCTCCCTAAGGTGGGGAGGGACCCTAAACAATGGAGTTGGGCAGCTCCTCCCTCTCTTGGAAACCCCTCTCAATCTTGGGATTTTCTCTGACTTTTTAAGTTCCTCATTTTTCCACTTTTATGCAAAAATTCTTATTTAAGCCTGCTTCTACTTTGTATACTCCCACATGAGTCCACACATTAATCTCCATTTGCATTAGACAACAATCTTAGAGCGCCGTCCCAGGTTGATCGCTGGTGACCATAAGTGCCCAACATCTTAGGTCACTGGGTCATGAAGTTGGTCAGTGAAAGGTCCCATCATTCTCAAAAACCTGCATCATTTCTGAGGTTCTGTTTTTTTCTTAACGGAAAATGAATGGACTGGGGTTATAGCTCAGTAGAGTGAGCACACATAGGACCTTAGATTTAATCCCTAGCATTGGCATAAACTGGCCATGCTGGCACATGCCTACAATTCCAGCACCTGGGAGGTAGACACAGAAAGAAGTTAAGTTCAAGGTCACTCTCAGTTACATGGTGAGTTCAAGACCAGCCTAGACTACATGAGACCCTGTCTAAAAACATAAAATGGATAGTGTGGTATTTGCTTTTCCTTTTTCATTGCTATGACAAAATGCCTGCCAGAAGCAATCTACAGAAGGCTTTGTTGTAGCTCCCAGCTTTAGGGGACTCCGTCACGGCAAGGAAGGGTGGGAAGCAGGAGTGATGCATCAGTATCAGGAGGCGGAGAGAGATGAAGGTGAGTTTCACCTGCTTTCTCCTTCTTACTCGGTCCTAGGTCCCAGCCCATGGGATCTGCCTCCCACAGTCAAGGTGGGGCTTCACACCTCAGTTAAACCTCTCTAGAAACACAACTCACAGACCAGACAGCCTAGAAGTTGGTCTCCTAGGTGGTTATAGCTCCCATGAAATTGACAAGATTGTCACAGGTGACCTATAGCATAGAGTTTAACTAACCTATAGTTTGTTTCTCTCTTTTTTAAAATTTACTGATAAGAAAGGGATGGAGTCTGATTCTTAGTGCTTATTCCTAGCCTTTAAAATGATAACCCGCCGGGCGGTGGTGGCGCACGCCTTTAATCCCAGCACTCGGGAGGCAGAGGCAGGCGGATCTCTGTGAGTTCGAGGCCAGCCTGGGCTACCAAGTGAGATCCAGGAAAGGCGCAAAGCTACACAAGAGAAACCCTGTCTCGGAAAACCAAAAAAAAAAAAAAAAAAAATGATAACCCATGTTCTGTCATTATTTACCCCCACCCCCAGGGTTTCTCTATGTAGCCCTGGCTGTCCTAGAACTCGATCTGTAGACCAGGCTGGCCTTGAACTCATAGGGATCCGCCTGCCTCTGCCTCCTGAGTGCTGGGATTAAAGGTGTTCACCACCACTACCCAACGTCATCATTTACTTGTATAGTACCTACCATGTAACAAGTAAATAGGAATTTAGGGGTAAGTGAATGAATAGGAAATACATAATTGGAGAAAGAAGGCCATAGTTTCTTCCTACCAGTTAGAAATTCTTATAAAACAAAGGGAGATACTCTAATTAGAAGATGAATTTTTAAGTGATCTGAGACTTTTTTTTTTTTTTTTTGAGGCAGGCTCTTACTATGTAGGCATGGTTGACTTGGAACTCACTATGTAGAACAGACTGGCCTAGAACTCAGAGACCTGCTTGCCTCTGCCTTCCAAATGCTGAATTAAAGCTAT